TCAATTTGTAGGTAAAAGGTTTCCTAAAACAACAGAAGCTTCCAATAAAAGCGTTGTTACTATTGGATAATGCACCAAGTCATCCTCCCGAGCAACAACTGAGGAGCAGGGATGTGTCAATTTTCGTCATGTACATGCCGCCCAACGTAACACCGTTAATACAACCGATGGATCAGAATATAATAAGACTCACCAAACTATACTATAGGAAGTTTCTATTTTCGTCTGTCTTGTCAAAGAATCCTGAAAACTTATCTGAGGCTTTAAAAAAAGTAACACTACGAAAAGCTGTTTTAGATTTACATATAGCCTGGAATGAACTTAACCAGCAGACTATTAAAAAATGTTGGAACAATCTCTTTTGTACCAATAATGAAGATGACGATGTCCCCTTAAGCGTAATTAGAGAACGTTTGCGATCCAATAATGATAATGTTATTAGTGTGTCATTGAATGTTGTTGATTTATTGAAAACAGTGAATCCCAACATTGTTTGTACTCCTGCTGATATTAATTTATGGAACGAAGATAAGCAGACGAATGATGCTGATAAGGAGGAGGATATGGACAGGGAGGATGATGAGAACGATCCCACTGAAGTCGTGCAGTGACTGACGCGCAAGCTTTTTAACCAAGCTTTAGATTGGGCTGAAAGAAAAGAAGTTTCATACACGGATATTTTAGTTCTTCGTAAATTACGGGCGCAGGCATTGGAAGACAATGCTAAGCGCAAATTTAAGCAGACAAAAATTGTTAATTATTTTTCTTCTAATTAAAAAAATACTTATCGCTGTTAGAATATTTGTTTATTTTGTTATACATAGTATGTATTAAACGTTTCTTTTAATAAATCAAATATTATATAAATCACGTTCGCTAATGTAAACATTTCGATAATGTGAACTACACTTGGATTAAATTAGTTTACATTATCGAGCGTCTGCTGTATTTTGTTAACTCTAGCTCATAGTCTTACCGCTATGTTTATTAGGTAACAATTTCCTCCAAAAAACTGTTGTTATTTGTTTTTTTCATTTTATTTCAGGTGAAGCAGGTAGACCTCGACATGATGTGGAAGAAGAACAAATATTAAATATTTTCCTACTCTCTCTACTCGCGCAGTGGCTCGACGGCTTGGATTATCTCAATGGCAGTGTGGTATGTTTTGCATGAAAACATATTCCACCCTTACCACTACACACCAGTGCATGTCATAGAGGAAGGAGATCCCATGAGCCGCATGCAACTTTGTCATTTTATTTTAAACGCTGATGTTGAAGATGGCAATTATGTAAGAAAAATTCTATTGACCGACGAATCAAAATTTGATAAAGACGGCATAACAAACTACCATAACCCTCACTATTGGCGTGAACGTGCAGTGGGAAATCCTCATATCGAAGAGATCAAAAGGATTTCAAAGGCGTTTTTGTCTGAATGTCCTGATGGGCATTATAAATAACTGTTTGGTAGGACCACATTTCCTACCCGACAACTTGAATGGAGAAACCTACGAACATTTCTTAAGAAATGTTCTATTTGAATTACTTGAAGACGTGCCGCTACACACAAGACACAGGAAGATTTTTCAGCACATTTCAGACTAAGTGTTAGAAATTGGTTAAATGAGCAGTTTCCGAATCGATGGATGGGTAGAGGCGGACCAATCGCATGGCCAGCACGCAGTCCCGATTTCACACCTATGGACTTTTTTGTGTGGGGTCGCATGAAAACTTTAGTATACTCCGATCAAAATCCTGTACCCACAATAAAAGACCTCAGAAATTCAAGCCTCTCCTAGGAATTCGGCGGTAGTAAAATCAGCTGTCATAAGAAGAGCACGTGTGTGAATTAGAAATGGAGCGCGCCATATTGAAAATGTATTATAAAACTAAAAAAAATGTAGTTTCAAACAAATTATCCTGTATTAAGGTATGATTTTGCAAATGTAGCATTTTTTATTGCTTTTTCTTTCCTCCTCTTATAATAGTCATATTTTTGACAATTCTTAATTGATTTGTGATTTGTATACCTCATTTGAAAGGTAGTGAAACGTAGATGTTTTCTGATTATTTTGTACGAAAAATTTGTATGCGACTTTTTCTAGTAACCTGAAGCTTTTGAGATGAACGAAGATTTTTTATAACAAAAATCGAACTATTTTGAAGCCTTACTGCATGAGATACCGTCAATAATTTACGTTTGAGTATCAATTTTCGTATTTTAGAATATTTTTATTGTAAAACAAACAAAAAAATCAAATGAAACACACAAATTTCACGTTTTATGACTGTTAACGTATAAAGGACGTAAATTTTATAAAATCTTAAAGATTAGTGTAACTCGAAAACGGCTAATTTTCGGACAGTAGTTCCTATTGTAAAATCGACTCAGATTGGCTTGTACTCTCCGCATCTATTTTCCCATCAACCTGTTAACTCACTCAACACACGCATTTACTTTTATCGATAAAAGCACTATGAGTCTAAATCACTGGACAACAAATTTTAGTTTTTTAATTGTATCTTGTGGGAAAAGTGCAGCACTTCTTTGTTAATTTTGGGGCGCTGAATCCAAAAATGACAATGAAATAAAAAAATTAGTTGCGGTTTAGAAAAAAAACTTTTTATTTTTAAGGATATATTAAAAAAAGTAACAAGATTCATATACTTATAAGAATCACTATATGCGGTGTCTTTTTGCTGTTCTTTTAAGGATCGTTTCTGGAGCATCTCTACCAAGAGCCCAACAGTAGTCTGCAAGCATGGAAGGATTCCACTTTCCCTGGTACCTTTTTTCCATTGTTGAAATATCCTGATGAAAACGTTCGCCGTGCTCATCACTTACGGCTCCGCAATTGTCAGGAAAAAAGGCCAGGTGTGAGTGTAGGAAATGTATCTCAAGAGACATATTACAGCCCATCTTTTGATACGATGACAGCATATTTTTGACAAGGGTTTTATAGTTGTCAGCTTTTCTATTTCCCAAGAAATTAGTGACCACCAGACGGAAATCATTCCAAGCAGTTTTTTCAATACCTGTTAAAGTGTGTTCAAACTGTGTATCTTTCAAAATATTTCGAATCTGTAGCCCAACAAAAATACCGTCTTTAACCTTTGCCTCACTTAGTCTTGGAAATTTCTGACGCAGGTATTGAAAAGCTGACCCATCTCTATCTAATGCCTTGACAAAGTTTTTCATTAGGCCCAACTTGATATGCAGTGGTGGTAATAAATTTTTTTCGAATCTACTAATGGCATATGCTGTACATTTTTTTGACCTGGCTCTAGGAATTGACGAACAGGCCAGTTTTGTCTGGTGTAATGAAGTGCCTTTGCCCGACTGTCCCATTCACACAAAAAACAGCAAAACTTTGTGTAGCCTAGCTGCAGCCCAAGTAAAAGTGCAACAACTTACAAATCGCCACAAATATGCCATTGGTGCTCATCGTATTTTATGCATGTCCATTAGGTACTTCATATTGTCATATGATTCTTTCATGTGAACTGCATACCCTACAGGAAGAGATGGTAAAATATTTCCAATATGCAATAACACTGCCTTTAAACTCAATGTTGAACTGTCTATAAACAGTCTCCATTCTTCTGGGTTATAGTTTATATTTGAAGCCGCCAGTAAGCCGTTAATGTTACTGCAGAAAACCAAGATATTCTCCATATTGAAAAATGGTTCTAAGTCTTTGTGGCGTTTACGAAAAACACATACCGAAACATCGTCTTCTAACAAGTTCCACTGCTGCAGTCTTGATCCAAGTAACTCTGCCTTACATTTTGGAAGTTCTAAATCTCTTACAAGATCATCTAATTCTGACTGTGTTATTTTGTGCGGTTGGTGGCATGACGTGCTCGGTATAAAATCAGGATCTCTTGACGTTGATGGCATATCTTCTTCCTGACGAATCACTCGATCGCCATGATCTGATTCGTTTTCTGATTCGCAAGTGTAGGATTCTGGGGGTTTTGGAATAGGATTTTCGTCACTGTGAGGCACAGGTCTCATCGCAGATGGTATGTTTGGGTAGTTAATAACCGATTTTTTTTTCTTGGACATACCTGTGGCTTGTCCAACACAAGGTACCATGCAAAAGTAACAATCATTAATATGATTTGTAGGCTCCAAACCATTGGGACAGCAAAGCGCATAGACCGTTTTTTGCCATTTAACCAGCTCCTCAGACTTGAAGCACATGTATTACAGCAGATGTGGGGTGCCCACTGTTTGTCTTGATCACCTAGTTTACAACCGAAATAAAGCTAATATGCCTTTGTTATTAGTGGAGTAATAGACCGTATCTGAGAGGCAAAAGTCACATCTCCACACACGTAACAAAACTGATCTGGATTGTTTACACACTTTCGAGACATCTTGCATGAACGCTGTCAGCCAACTGCGGAAAAAATGGCTAATATAAAACAATATAATGTACACGTATGTATAACGTAACACAATCATGCCGATTACATCATCTTTCCTTGCCGAATATAAAAATGTAGCACGTGCATTCTTGTGAATTACAGTATATTAACACTGTCACAGCAGGAACACATATAATTACCGTATCTCTAAAACTTGAACTAATATTGAAAAAATAAGTTTCATTCCGGTTTTAGCACATTAAAAATAGTAATATTTTGTTGATTTTATTTAGGATATTTTTTGGCTGTTGATCAGTGATATTAATTCAGTTTTATAGGAAATTTCGATTTCAGAACGTGATCGATTGGAACTCCAGCGCATCCCCAAGTTTGAGGTAGTTAATAATCACCCCGTTTAGAGCAGCATATTTGTCATGTAAGCAGCATGCAGCTGCCTGTAACTTTTAAAACTCTGTTTTAGTAACGAAGTTATCGACTGATTACACATTAACATACACACTTTTATTTCCAGGCTACCAGGCACTGGATCGGCATTTGGGTTTTGACTATGACCAAACTCGGGCCGTTCTTAAAAATTAGCTCAATTTCACGCGGTACCACTAGCTCTGAAGCTGAAAGACAGAGCAACATTTGATCGAAAAATCATGGCACTGATGGGCTGTTCTCGACCTCCAGCAGACTTCGAATTTGAACATAAAGACAAAAAACACGAAGAATTCGATAATGTTTTCAAGGAATGCCAGGAATGTGAACGCGCTTTACCAATGCTACACAAAAAACCTACTTTCGATTTCAAAAGGGATAATTTTAGTGAACCAATAAGTACACTGGTCCATAAGGACATGTGGATCAACAATGTCATGGTGAGAACCAAGGACCAAGATGTTAAGTTCGTGGATTTCCAATGCTATACTTACGATACGCCAGCCACAGATTTAATCTTCTTTTTGTGCGGTAGTGTGAGACTCGAAGTGCTAGAAAAACACTTCGACGATTTGTTAAAGTACTATCACGACAACTTTGTAGATACTTTGAACAAGTTGAAGTGTGATACAAGTCCGTTTACGTATGAGTATCTTATGGATGAGATAGCAAAGTGTATGGATAGGGAGTTTCACCACTGCGTCATTTTCACTACAGTCATCATATTTGGAGCGAAAAACAAAAGAGTGAATTTTGATGAGAAACGGGAAATTTCAATGGCTCAGAAGCAAAGGATTTGGTGGATGGTGAGAGAGTTTCTCAAGAAAGGTTGGCTGGACGCGTGGATTCAGTGATTTGATTTGTAGACAATGTGAAATGAAAAACTGTGTTATATAGGGTGTCCCGAAAAAGTATGCAATATTCGACCAGCGGTTCTAGAGCTTAAAATAGGAAGAAAAGTTATATAAACATAGGTCGACAAACGTCCCCTGAGGGCGCTACTGGTTTTCCTTAATATTTCCGAAACGTGTTGAGATAAAGACATAAAATTTGGTATTCTAGCCTAGTTTTTTATGCTGGATTTAAAATATTAATTTTAGACAGTTTTGTTTGGAAGCGTATGTAACAGTGACGGCCTCAGGTTATTTGAGCCAAAAAAATTTTGTGTGATTCTATTTTTGAAATTCAATTTTAGAATTTGAAAATCTAGGGTTTTCTACATAAAAAAGGTACTCTTATTGAATATCGATAAATTGTCCCATTTTTGAATAAAATCAAACTAAAACATTTGTCACATGATAGGAAATGTACTGCGAATTTAAATGAATTGTTGATTATACATAGCCATGACTGCAAACAAAAGTTGTTTTGATTTGTTATGACTTATTTTGACGTTAGCAGTGTAAAATTACTAGATTAAAATCAAATTTTTTATTAAATCGATTTAAAATGCCAAGATTTACAGACAGAGAACTGACTGACATGCATTTTGTGTACGGGTTGTGCAATGGCAGTTCATTGGCAGACGTAAGAGAATATCAAAAAAGATTTCACAATAGCATAGTACCTGGACGTCGAATGTTTACTGATATTCACCGGAATTTGTCAAACCATGGAAGTTTTCAGTGGATGCAGGGCTCAGGAAGGCCACTGGGAAATCATCGTATGGATATTGCTTTAAATATGTTTGAAAATAATCCGCAAATAAGCATACGAAATGTTTCAGAAAATATGGATATACCTCGATCAGTACTAAGAAAAATTTATGAATACCTATTTGATATGCGTATTTGTGGACTTACCAAAAGCGTTTGACACAGTTAACCACAATATACGAGGCGTGGTTTTAAAGTAAGTACCGTTTTGAGCTAAAAAAACAACAAGTAAATTTTGTCCAAAAATGATTTATTCACTTGAAAGGCCATGCTTTACTCTACTTTTCTACGTAATTCCCATTACGATTGAGGCATTTATCGTATCTTGGGACCAGCTTTTGTATGCCATCGTCAAAGAAGCTTGCCGCCTGAGTAAACAACCACTGCTTCACATTTTTGGCACTCAGCGTGAACACAATTTCCGATAATTTAAACGTTCGGACACAATTCGTAAAGAACACTTCTTGAGACAGCAGGAAACTGTTCAGCTAAGGACGAAATCGTGAATCGCTGTTCTCTTTCACTTTACAGTCCACTTTTTGAATCAGGTCATCGGTAATGACTGAAGGTCTTCCTCATCTTTAAAGGCCCTAACCCATTTCCGCACCATTCCATCACTCATAATGTTTTCACCATACACTTCACTGACTTGGTGATGAATTTCAACTGATTTGAAGCCTTGTGCACAGAGAAACCGTATTACAGCACGCACTTCGCAGTCGGCGGGATTCACAATCGGTGGAGGCATTTTAAAATCACGCAAACAGATGTAGACTCGATCGGATGGTTCCGTAACGGCGTCTGTGGCTACCCAACAGATGTAGCTACACGACGCGCGTGCGCTAAACGGCGACCGCAGCGCTGCGGCGGCGTAATTTAAAAACGGTACTTACTTTAAAAACACGCCTCGTACTTTTGGAAATCTTAGAAAGAATAGGTTTTCGTGGAAAGATGTATACTTTAATGGAAAATTATTTATCAAATAGACCGCAATCAGTAAAATTATTAAGCTCGTATAGTAATGAAATGTATGTTAAATGTGGTGTTCCACAAGGTACAATTTTGGGTCCTCTGTTATTCAATATTTATTTAAACGATATATTCAAAATTAACAGTACTGGTAAAATAGTCAGTTTTGCAGACGATACTGCTATACTCTATAAAGGTAAGGATTGGAACGACTTAAAAGATATTATCCAAAATGACTTTTGCAAAATTATTCAGTGGTTTAATAACCGAAAATTAACAATTAACTTTACTAAAACTCATTTTTTACCATTTTCATCACTATCTAATCATCTACCAAAATATAACCACCTTCGGTTTAAGGTAAATGATAAAAATATAAAAATCAATAGAGTTAATGATACAAAATATTTAGGAATTTATCTAGATCCCCACTTGAGATGGGATGTACATATTTCTCACATACTAAAGAAAATTAGATTCATAGCATATAAAATAAAATTTCTAACCGGTATATTAACTGAATATTATCTACGAATAATATATCAAGCTTTAGTCGAGCCACACATAACATATGGTATAATAGTGTGGGGTGCTGCATGCACGACATACTTTAACGATTTAGATGTACTTCAAAGAAGAATTTTAAAATCAATGTTAGGCAAATCAAAATTATACCCAACTAATGACTTATATAATGATGCACAAGTATATGATACTAAACAACTTTACTTCTTACATACCATCACTCATTATCACAAAACTATTAGTGAACACGACATAATTAAACATAATCATAAAACCAGATATAAATTACGCGCAAAAAATGTTCCTAAACCAAACAAATCCCTAATGAAACGATGTCACCTGTATATAGCTCCAAAATTGTACGAACATTTACCAAATAATTTAAAACAATTACGCAATACATTAGGCTTCAAAAAAAAATTAAAAAAATTTATTAACACGATTGGGAGAAATCAAATTAATAAAATAATCTCAAATATTACACAATAAATGCTCTACCATTCTTACCAATAATTTCTTTTTTCTCTCTATTTTATTATATTTTGCAATTCAACATACATATGATCCATGCACATGCGTTGTCCTATGGATATATTATATTTATTTACTCGTTTCATGTTCCCTGTATTTTAGAGTAAATAAATATCATTATTATTATTATAGTTATCCTAAAAACAATAATTTTAGATAGGAAGAATGACAAGAATGCAAGGATTCATCCTTATCATTTTAAACGGGTGCAGCATTTAACGGAGGCAGATTTTTTACCACGAATCGAGTTTTGCCAGTGGATATTAGCAAACGAAAACACTATTCCTAGAATATTATGGTCGGATGAGTCAATATTTACTAGGAATGGTGCTTTTAATTTTCATAACATGCATCACTGGTCAGATGAAAATCCAAAAGTTGTTCGCCGTACAAATTTCCAACATAGATTTTCATTGAACTTATGGACAGGAGTGATTGAGGATGAAGTAATTGGGCCTATTGTATCGTATTACTTTAGAGGTGTATCTGAACTTTCTTCAGAATGAGCTCATGGATATAATACCATTGGATGTGCGCCAGCAAGAAAATATGTTTTTTCAACATGATGGCGCCCCTGCACATTTTGTTAGGTTAGGTTAGGCCGAGGAGGTCCTATAGCGTGGCCGCCACGTTCAGCTGACCTAAATCCATCGGATTTCTATTTTTGGGGGTCATTAAAAGACCTAGTTTACTCGACTGAACTAAATACTCAAGAAGATTTACTTCAAAGAATCCATCAGGCTGCAGATGAAATAAGAAGAAAAAGGTTTTCCACTTTTCGGGCTACGCAATCATTAGTTCGTCGAGCGAGACTCTGTATCCAACAAAATGAGTAATTATTTGAAAACTTATTGTAAAGCTAGTTTTAAGTATATCTTAAACAAATTTCAATTTCGTTCATTGAAAAAATGTATTTCTTTTGTTTTTGCCTAAATCTATGTTGCAATAGAAATATGTATTTATGCAATATTTACCAATTATTAAATTAGTTTTTCCGTTGCCATGGCTAATTATTCAACAATTCATTTAAATTCGCAGTACATTCCCTATCATGTGACAAATTTTTTAGTTTGATTTTATTCAAAAATGGTACAATTTATCGATATTCAATAAGAGTACCTTTTTTATGTAGAAAACCCTAAATTTTCAAATTCTAAAATTGAATTTCAAAAATAGAATCACACAAAAATTTTGGGGCTAAAATAACCTGAGTCAGTCCCTGTTACATACGCTTCCAAACAAAACTGTCAAAAATTGTTAATATTTTCAAATCCAGCATAAAAAACTAGGCTAGAATACCAAATTTAATGCCTTTATCTCAACACGTTTCGGAAATATTAAGGAAAAACCATCTTCAGGGGAGCCCCTTTAAAAGACCGTAGCGCCCTTAGGGGACGTTTGTCGACCTATGTTTATGTAAACTTTTCTTCCTATTTTAAGCTCTAGAAACCGCTGGTAGAATATTGCATACTTTTTTCGGGACACCCTGTATAGCTTCAAATATACTGTTGGAATTTTGTGAATGCGTTTTTTTTAATTAGGAAGTTTTCTATAGAGGAAAATACTTCTAGTTTCACTTGTATACAATAGTATAAAATACAAAAATTTCATTTCTACGTTTTCCAGATCGCTAATAACGAATATAATATCCAGAAAGAAGTCCACATAAGGAGTAATTTTGGCTTATAGGGCGAGTGTCATTGTCCAATCACTGTTATTGCTTGGTAATGGAAAATAGACGGATATTATCTGATTTATGATTTCTTCGCAGAATCTTAAAGAATCAAATTGACTGCTTTTACATTTCATCGAAAGTGAATATAAATGTACCGATAAGAGTGAATCCTCGACACCGTTTATACAGGGTGTTTCAGTTTATTATTGCATAACTTTAAGATTCGATAGAACTTTTAAAATTAATGCATAAAGTCTATATAAACATGTGTCGAAAAATGCGTGGCTTCCGAAATACAGACTGTTTAAATTTACTTTCTAAAATAGTTTTTTTTAAATATTTCGAACAATATTTGATGTATAACAGTGAAAATTGTTATACAAGGGTTTTTTGGTACGTCAAAACGAACCATGGGCATAGTTTTACTGTAGCCGCTAGAGGTCGCTCTCTACTGTACCTGTAGTGTATTAAAATGACCGAAAATTTATTCTTAGTGCAA